TTTAAATATATTTTATTGATTTTTTTTTACAGAGAGGAAGGGAGAGAGATAGAAACGTGGATGAGAGAGAAACATCCACCAGTTGCCTCTTGCACACCCCCTACTGGGGATGTGCCTGCAACCAAGGTGCATGCCCTTGACCGTAATTGAACCTGGGACCTTTCAGTCCTCAGACCGATACTCTACCACTGAGCCAAACTGGTTTCGGCTCACGCCTTGCTTTTTAACCAAGGCCTTTCTTGAGTTTATCCATGTTACATATTATTTTATTAGATAACCACTAGTGATTTCATAGGATGGAGAAATTCCAAATGTTAGAAAAAAAGTTGAAAACTTCTGTCCTATAACAGCTCCTGGATCAACTCATGAGAAAATCACTGAACTGGATAACCCAAAAGAACCATCGCCAGTCAGTTCTTCCACTCCCAACCAGTTTCCTCTAATGATAACCCAGGAGAATTAACAAAGCCATATTGTTCTAGCAAGCCTAGAAAAAATCCAGTTTCCTTATGTTATGAAATACATGCCATAAATCCTACTAACCAAACAATCCTTTATTTTGGCAAATTTGTAGACGACAAAATAGGATTGTGAGCTGCCACTACTACCAAGGGAGATTTAATGGTGTCACAGAGCAAATCTGTGGAGGAAAGAAATCTATTTTCAGCAGGGATTTTCAGCCAGAAGTGTCTCCGCACTGAGAAGAGTGTGAAATGCCTGCCATCACCATGACTGTTGACCACTGGACCCTCACCTCAAAGATGTAAAAGCAGAATGGTAAAGCATGTCAACCCCTCCAGCCAAAAACCACCAGGAGCTCATCGGCAGTGGACAAGCAGGGTTTATTGCAAATTGCATGGAGAGAGAATGACATTAACATCTCAGTAATAAGAAATGTCAGGAAAAAAAACCTATTAACAGGATGTAGGCTTTGGTTGGGTGATTCGAAGAGCAGGGCTCTGTTCTAGATTGGATGCTGTCAGAAAGCAGGAACACATCTATGACTGAGTATCTCAATAATTATTTTTTTAAATATATTTTATTGATTTTTTACAGAGAGGAAGAGGGAGAGATAGAGAGTTAGAAACATCGATGAGAGAGAAACATCGATCAGCTGCCTCCTGCACACCCCCTACTGGGGACATGCCCACAACCAAGGCACATGCCCTTGACCGGAATTGAACCAGGGACCCTTCAGTCCACAGGCCGACTCTCTATCCACTGAGCCAAACCAGTTTCGGCTCTCAATAATTCTTACCCATAAGTGGGATACACAAGAGCAGGAATAAAGTTGTAACTGTTAAAGAATTAGAAGTCACTCATAAACGGTAATCTTGGCAAAGACTAGAAAAAAGTCATGCTAGACAGGAACAGACATTGTTCTTGGTCACACTAGGTGAGAATCGTTGATTCTTTGTGCAGAAAACTTTGACGATTTCAGAAATATAAAGAATCATATTTTAGTTATTAAGCATGTCTAGATCACAGTCTAGACCAGGGTTGAGGAACATTTTTTCTGCCAAAGGCCATTTGGATATTTATAACAACATTCGTGGGCCATACTAACTTATAAACTTAAAAATTAGCCTGCTATATTTGATCCAACATTTAATTAACTCACCCCTAATGCCTTGGCAGGGCCAGACCAAATGGTTTCATGGGCCTTATATTGTTTGAAGGTTGGATGTTCCCCACCCCTATTCTAGACCATGGCTCTGGATATATCACTCCAATAATTTCTCTGCCCTCTTCAATGTTAAAATACCTTTCTTGTAATCATTTTGCAGTTACCTGGAATAGGGTATTTTGGTCAAGTTTAGGGTATCCAGAGGGGTAAAAATAGGTAAAAGCCATTGCTTGCTTTTCAAACTATCTGTGGTGAAGAAACAGTTTCTTTTCTCCCCACTTGACCTCATGCTAATAAGTTCATAAATACAATAAAAACTAATTACTAGAAAAAAATAAAATAAAATAAGACAAAAAAAAAACAACAACCCAGGCCCATTTTTTATTAGAACCAACACAAATATAACTGCCAAATTACTATATAAGTTTTTATATATTGTCTCATTTGCTATATTTATCTTGTCGCAAACATTCAAAAAGGAATTAACCCTTATCCTTTTTAACTATTTCAAAAAATCCAAGAGGAAGAAAGACTTCCAAGCTCTTTTTATGTGGCCAGTATTATCCTAATTCCAAAAAGATAAAGACACTACAAAATTAAAAAAAATTACAGACCAATATCCCTAAAGAACATAGATGCTAAAATCCTCAAAAAATATTTGGATCCAGCAACACATTAAGATCATACACCATGATCAAGGGATATTTACTCCAGAGATGCAAAACTGGTACAGTATTCACAAATCCATAAATGTGATACATCAAAAATAAAATGAATGCTAAAAATCACATGATCATATCAAAAAACATTAGACAAAATATAGTGCCTGTTTATGATAACAACTCTCAGCAAAGAGGAAATAGAGAGACTATACCTCAATATACAAACTTACAACCAACATCTTACTCAATGGGCAAAAACTACAAGTGTTTCCCTTAAGATAAGGAACACAACAGGGTTATCCGCCTTCACCATTCTCCTTCAAAATAGTACTGGAAATCCTACCCACAGTGATCAGGCAAGAAACAATAAATAAAAGGCATCAAAATTGGAAAGAAAGAAGTAAAACTGCCATTATTCACAAATGACATGATATTATACACAGAAAACCCTAAATACTCCACCAAAAAACTTCTAGATTTAATAAATGACTGTGGCAAAGTAGGATACAAAATTATCATCCAGAAATGGATGGCATTTTTATACACCAATAATGAACTCTCAGAAAGATAAATTAAACAAATAACCCCAATGACCATTGCAACAACAACAAAAAATAATATACCTGGAAATAAACTTAACCAAGGAAAATCATAGGACATTGAAAAAGGAAATGGAGGAAGATACAAACAAGTGGGAGCATATACCATGTTCATAGACTGGAAGAATTAACATCATTCAAATATCTACCCAAAGCAATCCCTATTAAAATACCAATGGTATAGTTCACAGATCTAGAACATTCCAAAAATTTAGATGGAATCAAAAAGAGACCCCCAAATAGCCTCAGCAATCTTCAGAAAGAACAACAAAATTCTTTATAGTTTTGATATCAAACAATACTATAAAGCCATTTAAATTTAAAAAATAGCCTGGTACTGACAGAAGAATAGGCATATAGACCAATGGAGCAGAATAGAGAACCCAGAAATCAACCCATGCGAATATGGTCAATTAATATTTGACAAAGGAGGCAAGAGCATACAATAAAGTATGATAGTCTTGTCAATAAATGGTGCTGGGAAAATTGGACAGGTACATGCGGGAAAAAAAAAAAAAAAAAGGAAACTAGACCACAAACTTATACCATACACTAGAATAAACTTAAAATGGGAAGAAAAAAAAAAGACTTAAATATAAGTCACAAAACTATTAAAAGTTTCTAGAAGAAAACTATAAAAGTCCTAGAAGAAAGCATGGGCAGTAAAGGCTCAAAACATCTCACATAGCAATATTTTCACCAATACATCTCCTAGGATGAGAAAAATGAAGAAAAAAATAGGACTACATCAAACTAAAAAGCATCTGCACATCAAAAAAAGCCACCAACAAAATTATAAGGGAACCCACTCAATGGGAGAACATATTCACCAACGATATATAAGGAATTAATTTTCAAAATATATAAAGAAGTCATACAGCCGAAACCTGTTTGGCTCAGTGGATAGAACGTCGGCCTACAGACTTAAAGGTCCTAGGTTCAATTCCAGTCAAGGGCATGTGCCTTGGTTACGGGCACATCCCCAGTGGGGGGAGGGGAGAAGGGGGGAGCTGATTGATGTTTCTTTCTCATAGATGTTTCTAACTCTCTATCCTTCTCCCTTCCTCCCTGTAGAAAATGAATAAAATATATTTTTTTAAAAGGAAGTCAAACAGTCCAATTTAAAAATGAGCAAAGGACTGAATAGACACTTCTCCAAAGAAGATATACAGATGGCCAATACACATATGAAAAAATGTTCAACATCACTAATCATCTTAGGTATAGAGAGGATATTGCAAAATATTCACAGTACTGGTGGAGGACCAAGGTAGGGTAATTATAAGCAGGAATGTAAGGAATATTTTGAGAACTCTTAGAAGCAGTGGCAAAACAAAGGGAATAGCTCTGAACTCCCAAGAAACAGCAGCCTGGCAACCATAGAAAGGAAAAATGGTTGCTCTTTTTTAAACAAAGACTTGGAGTCAACTGTGGATAGAAAAGGCATAAACATTGACACTCTTTTCAAATAACATCTGGGGATACAACACAAATAAAAATATTTCACATCTGCAGAGTGTACAAAGAAGAGTCAGTTACTATTGGATTCAACCTTAAAACTAAAGAGCAATGTATGGGTATTTTACTTCAAGATAAAGGAAAAAAATGAATCAAAGCTACCATACAGAAACAACCACATAAAGTAATGCTATTTGAACAAATTGTGACATTAAGATCTGCTCATTTCCCATTTTAGCATTCTGTGGGGAAATGAAAAAAATGCTTTCAAAATACTTTCTTTAAGAAAATATCCAAAGTTTCCACATAAGAAGTGTAATATTATCATTTTGGAGTTATCTATGTTTCTTTAGAAAGTTTTCAGAGTGCTTTGAAAGAAATAAGGAAATAAAATTCCCCAATGTAACACAAGTGAAAACATAAGCAAAAAATATTAAAATAGCTGTCTTTTGTTTCTTGGAATAATGTCTCCATGTCAAAATTGAGCCAAAGCACACATCTTTGACAGTAAAATGTGTTCTACTGCTTCCTCCTGAATTTAAAATATTATAATGAAGCTTCCTTTCCACCTCTACCTTCCAAACCATGCTGGAGCCATGGTACACTCCCAAACACCTGCAAACATATACACACACAAGAGGGAATGAGTCTTACCAGACCATCACAGTTGTTAATGGCAACAGAGGTTCCTGGAATGTCCATGATGTCACCCACATAAGCACAGTTAGTATGCAAAGGCTCTGTTTTCCAGATTCTTTCAGAAGCACTTCCTGGTTGATGATCATTAACTGGGTCGGTTATATTCCCAGGCACTGGAGAGGTTTCTTGCCATTCCACAACAGCCCCAGGAGCTATGAGCTGAGTGTTGGGCTTTAGTCGCAGATGAAAATCTCTTCCAAATGCCGTGATATTAAAGAACAATTGCTCAGAGTTGGAAGACACATCCCTTGTTGACCTCTTTTTGTGATTTGCAGAAAGAATATGAGAGAGATAGTGTCCTTCTAGATTTGTGCTGACTGGAGTCACCAGCTCATACTCTTTGTGTCTCTTTATTGGTGAATCTGTGGAGTGAAAAATAGAATTGTAGGACCCTGTGCAACAAGAGAACACAGCACAAGCATAAAGTGCCCAACTCACAAGACTGCACTCTCGATATGCATAATGAGTATATCTCTGAATCATCTCTTTTACATTTCTCATAACTCAAATCATTTCTCAAATGGCCTGAGGCAACTGTGTTCAACAAATCTTTTTTTTACTTTTTAAAAAAGTTTATTATAATGCATATCTCATTTATATATTTAAGAACATGAACGTAAGTTCCCATTAACTGCATCTGGCTTGCTTATAATCAAGACACATTCCCAGTTATTTCTGCTTAACTGACACATGCTACAAACTTTAAAATGTTTCTGTTATGTAGAAATTTTTTCTTTTTATTTTAATGTTTTCCTATAAGAATAAAATTTATATTAGTTACAACAGCTACTCTATGTTGCATATACCATGACCTGTAATTTACACACTGTAGTACATACACATTTTTTCCATCATAACAACCCTAACAATCATACTTCAGAGATGAGGAAACTGAGAATCACGAGGTATGTGTGCAAGGTCAAATAACTGTGAAGCTAAGATATGGATCCAACTGCTACTCCCAAGCCCATATCTTCATTCTACAACATCATGCCATGTCCCATAAATCACAGAACATTTTCAGAAAATGAGGAAATAAGTAAAAAAAAAAGAAGAAATAATTATCTATAAATTAAATATGCAGATATTACTAGTTAGTCAAGAGCAAATGGCATTGTCATTTTGCACAGTATTCCTTACATGGGACAGACACTCACTTGAGTATAAAAGTGTATTTGGGATCCACCTGACAACATGGGTGGCCACTTACATGTTAAATAGAATTTCAAAATTAGAACTTAATTCCCCTAGTTTAGCCAATATTATGTCTGCTAAAATGAATATTATGTCTGCTAAAATGCAAGCATCCTTGGGAAAGATAACACACTGAATGAACCATTTATCCCTTAATAGAAATGGTTTTGAAGGCAGAAGACAGTGGATACTGAAGGAAATAAGGGGGCAACAATGAAAAAAGAGGCCCAGCTAGTATGGCTCAGTCATTGAACATTGACCTATGAACCAGCCGGTTATGGTCAGATTCCTGGTCAGGGCATATGCCCAGGTTCCAGGCTTGACCCTCAATAGGGACATGAAGGCAGCCAATCAATTATTTTCTCTCATCATTGGTGTTTCTATCTCTCCCTCTCCCTTCCTCTCTGAAATCAATAAAAAATACATTTTTTTAAAAAGAATGAAGAAAAAAACAGAATGGAAAAAGAAAACATGGAAAGGGAAATTTGAGAATATAAATTAAAGAGTTCCCCACCCTTAGAATTCTAATCTAAGACTAGTCCAATAGTGTGTTAAAGTACCTTAAAAATTATGATTGACAAATACTGTTCACTTATAGGAACACATGTCATTCAATAGAGTTTGAGACCCATAATTAAACCTACAATCTATAATGTTAAATATCCTTATAGAATCACTATGTTTCCATTATTTTCCCTGATTTTTAAATACATACTTCAAATGATGTGTAGAGTACCAGAAGACAAATGAAGTCATTTAGCAACTTGGAAATTTCTTGAGTGCATGTTTGTAATCATTAGGCCACTTGTAATGACCAATGGATTTAAACAAAATCTCTCTCTTTAAAAATGAAGAGTAAGTAACCTGGTTGTAAATATTCAATAGGCAGAGGAGTAAGACTGTCCTAGCACAGAAAAAAAGTGAAGCCCAGTTCCAACCCTGGAGCATAACTTTACCACCCTGTACCATCGGTGCTCCATGTCATAGCCAAGGACCAATAGTGGATATTACTGAAAGCACAGGTACAGAGGTTGATCTCCCTGCAACCAAATCTCTGGTGAATACTTTTGTAAGTTCTGGTTCAGGGAAAGAACTTGAAATTTTAGGGAATGAACTCAAGTGTCACAGGAGTGGAGTGACGGAGGGGAAAGTTCCCATAGTAAACAAATGATGAAGCGGAATCTTGGATGTGGACTGATAAAGCTTACCCCCAATAAATTCCTTGAGGATAAGAACACCCCATTCAACCTGGCATTCCCAATGTACTCTAATAGCTGATTTTATATTTGCTAGGATCTCTTGTCAATAGAATGTATTTGATGTGTGTTAAGGTGGTGATGCAGGTAACTAAAGAGCCTTTGCTTTGCCTAGACCCGTGGTTGGCAAACTGTGGCTCGCAAGCCACATGCGGCTCTTTGGCCCCTTGAGTGTGCTCTTCCACAAAATATCACGGCCTGGGTGAGTCTATTTTGAAGAAGTGGCGTTAGAAGAAGTTTAAGTTTTAAAAATGTGGCTCTCAAAAGAAATTTCAATCGTTGTACTGTTGATATTTGGCTCTGTTGATTAATGAGTTTGCCGACCACTGGTCTCGGCTGCTCCACACTCTGACTTATTATCCCAGGCTGTGATATTTTGTGGCTGCACCAATAACCCTAGTTATAACTCTTTCTCTAACCATCTATTTACTGTTTCATGGGAAGGAGAAAGTAATGCTTTATTTTAATGTATGGATTTCCCATCTCTGCTGAAGGGAATTCACACAACCAAAGTCTAGACAATATACTGATGCCTGAATTAAGCGACTGGAGAAGTAGAAAATCTAAAAAGAATGCAGGGAGGCTCCTCCTCACCCAGAGCCTCACCCTTACAGTAAACCATGCATTCCAGATTCCCCGGGATGGTCCCATGTTCCCTGTCAGACAGCACGTCCTGGAATTTTTTTCAAAATAAAGATGGTGTATTACTATAGAGCTTTGTCATCTCTAATGCTAAATAGTAAATCATTGCTAAAATGTGCACACAAGAAACATTTCTGAAATTAAACCCTGAGTGAGTCCATTTCCAGGTGGAAATTAAGGTTATCAAGGGAAAAGATGCACTCAGTAACCTCTCAGGCTACCTTCCCTTGATGGTAAGCCGATGAACTGACACAGTAGCTACCCAATTATTTGCCATCTATTAGAATAAACGCCGGACTGCCCTTTGTGCTCGAGAATATATCATCTCTAATTCTCACAACACTCGCAGTAGGTAGGTGTTATTATCTTAGATGGCCTGTCACTAGCCAGCAAGGAGCCAAATGAAAATTTCAATTGTGATCATTTTGAAACTGAAGATCATGCTCCTATGCTCTTACTCACTTCATCTTACTGTCAACTTCTAATTTAAAATCTGATTTATAAAGGAAAATTACGACAAGAATGATTACGCTCTGCCTACCCATAGCCAGTCAACCAAATTTTCCTCTAGTGTAGCTTCAAACATTTTGGTAAAAGGCTCTTAAATTCTCAGTCTTTGGGAGGAGGGGGAAAAAAAAAGAGTGATGGGAAAAGCTCAAAAGTATTTAATCTCAGTAAAATTACACAAGAAAACTAAATCATATCCAATGTTACTTTGCTGCATTCAGAAATTAGACATTTCACATGCCCAAATACTTCTGCAAAGCAATATAGCCTATCATACAGTTAAGGAATGAATTATAGTGTCAAAAAGCAGCTAGTTAACATATGAACCTGAACAAGTTATTTTTCCTTAGACTCAGTTTTCTCATTTGCCAACTGAAGGTTAGTAATAATACCGTGTTTCCCTGAAAATAAGACATCCTCCGAAAATAAGACCTAGCACATGGAAAGTTAAGACATCCCCTGAAAATAAGACCTAGCGCAACTTTGGGAGAAAAAAAATTAATATAATTTTTGGGGAAACAGGGTAGCTCCAACTTCATAGATTTGGTGAGATGATCAAATGAGATTATGCAAAGAAATCAGTAAGGATTAGCTACTTAAATGTAAGCTCGCTACTCATTAAAATAATGCCCATGCGAATTTCAATATATGAAACTATTCAAATGTCAGCTGAGGTGGCTAAAGAGCCACAGCAATAGATATATAGGTTTTGTGGCCACTAAGTTTCATAAGCATAGAGGGGCTGGGGCCACTGTAAAGCCAAGTTGTGCTATTTATCCAAGCATGACTCAGATACAGTGAATTTTCCACAATTCACTGGTATCAGTGCACACATGGTCCATCTCCTTACTGTATGTATGTATTTTCTTCAACATAACCTAAGAGTAAACCCTCCACTGTATACCACTTTCTAGCCTCTCTTGCCTTTGCAAGAACAGTTTCAGCAATTGTCCTCTCTCTCTTTTCTGATCAATTTCCCCAAATCACTAAATCATTCCCACCTGCAAATAAATAAGCTGCCATATTTCCCATCTCTAACCAAACAAAACCTACTTGATGCCACATCCATCTCTAGCTAATCCATTAATTCTCCCCTTTATAGCAAAACACTTCAAAAATTTACTATATTAGATGCCTCCAATTCCCCTCTTCCCATCCTTGTTTCTTTCTCGAATCCACTCCAATTAGTCCCTTGTGTAGGTCACTAGTAACCCCATGGTGCCAAAACCATTGGGCAAGAGTCCACCTTCATTCCTGCCGCATGAGCAGCATTTGATCCAGGTTTTTCTTTCCTTCTTGAAATACATTATTTAGCTTCCAAGACACCATTCTCTTCTGGTTCTCCTCTTTCCTCACTGGTCTCCTCTCTTTTTCTCCCTCACGTCCCCTTATTCCCATGAGTTATATACACTGCAGGGACGCAGTAGTGGACTCTTCTGCATTTACTCTTTCTAGTCTGGTGAGCTCATGCCATCCTGGGACTTTGAATTCCTTCATGATTGTAGATCTCTAGCCCAGGCTTCATCCACGAGCTCTTTTTCTGTCAGTACAATTGCCATGTGGACATTCACTAGGCACCTCGATTTAACATTTCAGAGTAAACATCCTATCTTCCTGCTTCCAAACATGTCCCTCACCTGTGTCAGTAATTGGCAATTCTATCCTCCCACTTATGCAGACCAAACACTTGATTAAACCATCCTTAACTCTTCTCAACCACACACCAAATCTCTTCATAAATTCTATGGACTCTGCCTTCAAAA